AACATCCATAACCACTTTGCTAAGGTTGAGTTTCTCTCTCTCCAGGTCCTTTCAGTCTTTCAGTCTCCAGGCAATGAGCTAGTACCTGAATAGCATAATTTGTCCAGCACTGGTAGAGATGTTTAATGGGATATATATAATGGGATACCGATGATGATCAACTCTCCCAGAGATTTCATATAGATGTTAAAGAGGAGGGGAGAGAGACATGAGCTGAGTAACCCAACATAACAGGGCCTAGGGCTGGACTTCTCTTCCACCATAACTTATTGGTTACTGTTATCAGCCACAAGGGGGGAAAAGGTAAACTATTGCAAAATAACACCTTCCACTCTCAATCCCTGGAGCTGGTCCAGCAAAATATCAAGCAATGGTATCAAAAACCACTAAAAGATCTAGGAAGGCCAGAAAAGACTAGTCACCCTCATCCTAAACTCTCCAAAGGTCAATGACCAGCATTATTAATGTTGTCTCAGTATTATGTAGCCTAGCCTGAAAAGGGTCTAGATAATCTGCTTCATCCAAGCCTTGCACAGCTGGGAACCTACCACTATTAGGACTTCATTACCTTTCAAAGTAAATATTCCACTGGATAAAAATTAAACAATTAACAATGCAAGCATTATGAGCAATTTTATCAGAACACCTTGCAAATTTTAACACAACAGAATTCTGAGTTATAGAATAACATTTCCCAGAACTGATGTCAGAAAGCTCTATTTGTGATGTAATGGAAGAAGCAAAGTGAGGCCTTGTCACCCCAGTTGTCAGGTCAAGCCTAAAGATAACACACAGTAAGATCTAATCAAGTCCAATCTTTTATTTTACCTGACATTCAAACCTGCATCCCGAAGAACTTTTGCTGTTCCTCCTGAGGCAACCAAAGTCAAACCCAAAGAAGTCAGACATTTTGCAAATTCCACCAGACCAGTTTTATCTGAGACACTAAATAAAGCTGAAAGAAAAACAAATTCTTTAATGAGAATATTGATATATAGCAAAACCCCACATTCATACAGGACCAGCTAAATTCACTACAGTTCTATTTTAAGCACTGGTAATCATCAATGAAAAAGGTGATTGTTTTTAAAATCTGATCTACCAAGTAGGTTTCAGTCATACATTGTGTTTCCTGCTACCACTACATGGAAACACTGCCACTTCTTCTCAGCATAACTCAGCAATAATCTTCTATAATTCAGCATTACAGTATCAATCATCTTTAGTGTTGCTGGCATTGTAATTCACATCAGAAAGGCACTACTGGTGGAGGGAGCTAGTCCAGAATAAATTTTGTTTATCCGAATGAACAGGACTTGTATAACAACCTTGCAGCTTTTACAAGATGTCTTTTACAAAAACATTTTCAAATTTTCTTCTGCCTTCCAACTGATGTAATGCTTGGGATAACTGAGAATAATGGGGCAGTTGCTATAGCTGTTTCTTTTGTTAATTTACTTCTACTCAAATTATTTCATATTAAATTAATTTTCCCAGTAATTCCACAAGAGAAAAATGTATTGGCCACAAATAAGAGGGCAAGGTGTACTGTAAATGTAACAGTCAGGATCAAAAATGTAAACTTAAATGTAACATGGGATTTTCAATATTATTTTATTCTCTTAGGATGATAAAAGCTAACTCTTTCCATCTTTTTTTCTTGATTTAAAGTGTGTCTACAAAAATAAGTCCGTATATTCATATTTCTATTACCTGAATCAATCCCCTTCAGGATGAAGACCTTTTCATCAAACATGGACAGAAATATAATTAGGCAGGACTGTCTGCTTTATTTCTCACTTTCATGCCATTCTAAGCAGTTATCCTAGATGCCTTTCAATAGGATAAGAGCTCCTCTATTCTTAAAAATATGGTTTTGTAGTCTGTCCTTCAATAGGATTCGAAGGATTCTATTTCATTCGAAGTTTGCAACTTTGCACCGCAGTCATGAGAATCAAATAGTGAAGATCGCATTGCACTTTACGTTTTACACTGCAAATTGTCCCTGCATATTTGCTAACTCCTCTTGAAAAAATATGCACAAAAGAAACCAGCAAACCAGGGAGAAAAGTTGCGGATTACATTCATCGGGAGCTAAAGAAGATGCAGAAAAAGGCAATCCTCTACCAATAGTTGAAAGGGATCATTCAACCCAAGAACGAAACTCTGCTCACTTCTGCTGATCTTCGTGGGCCTTAACTTGCATCTTGGACGGGGTGAGGTTAAAACTTTTAACCTATCAGGACACTGATTAAAACTATGCACATTTATTTTTAACACGCAATCGCCTTGTAGTCCACGCAGATACTCTGTTTTTTAGCCTTTGTAGCTTTAGTGTAACGGTTTCCCTTCAATTTAGTCATATGGGGAAAAGAGCCAATACTGGTCACGAGGCTTGTTTCTGAATAACACGAGTAAGATCGGACAGAACTTCAGCACACAGCGTACACCACGCTGAAGAGGAGCCCTCCTGTTAAGTCAATCACCAAACCGGGCGGAGCCCTCCAGTAAGCCAAAAACCAACAGGCGGTGCTCCCTTCTACTTTCAAAGGGGGTATTTTGCTGCTGAGAAAGTAAACGAGCAAAACTTTTGCAGAGTAGTGAACCTGCAGGGTCGAGATGCCAGGCATAGCAATCGAAACTCACCCAGCTGCTGCCTCAAAGCCATGTTTGTAGACCCTCTGCAAGAAAACACTCCCAGAGAAGAACAGGCGGCAAGAAAGAAAGCCTGCTCCTCGCGGGTGGATATAAATGAGAAGGTGGTAGTCGAAGGAAGGGGGTGGGGTTACGATTGCATGCCGGGAAGGCGGAGAGAGAACTGAATCGCTGAGGCTTTGATTCAGCGCTAGAAAGAAGTTCGGGGAACTTTGGCCTTGCTGAAAGAAAGGAGCGATCCCTGAATTAGACCCGCTATATTCTAGTCAAGGGGCAGTGTAAAAACTGAATCCGTATTTACTAGTCACCTCGGACTAAATGGCTGTGATGCGGTAACAGTATCTTCTACCTCGTTTGTACCATGCAAAACTCCGTAGATCCACGCAATCTTGGTATACGATTGTTCTTTGCATTGCTTTCTTTATGCAAAGCTAATCATGTAGCTAGATTTGCATGTTTCAGCAATGTGGGTGATATCAGTGCAGTTAAGTTAGTAACCCCGGTTTGTTAAGTGAATTTGGTTTACCTATTGACTTTGCTTGTCCGGTCAAAAAGATGATCATGTGACCATGGAGATGCTGCAATGGTGTACCTTTTGCACCCAATTTCTCTCTCCTATTTGACAAAAAACCATTAATGGTATTTCATTATGGTTAGTACTGTTATAACAAACACCTCTAGATATGAAAGTGTTGCATTATTCCACCTTACCCTAATTATGCAGGATTGCAGAAACGCTTTACAGTTACTCTCAAGTCTAGTCTAAGACTTGTTCTTGACAAATTTATGTGGATTTAGAGTTACTATGATACGGTTTTTTGAGGGGAATCTGAAAATCTGTTCTAGTCTTTCCAGGTATTGATCCAGATTAGTTGGCCCTCCAATCACCTGCACTAATTCTCTGGAATTTCTTAAATATAAAGCTTCAGCCAATCAGTTAATTACTTCAAATGTAATGTGGATGGTACCTCCATTCGTCTTGAGCTCCTTTTCCTATTTCCACCTCCTTTATGAAAATCCAGAATCCAAAATATATAGAATTACGTAATAGCAGGGTTGGAAGAGACCTTGGAGGTCATCTAACTCAACCTCAAGTTCAAGTAGGAAACCCTATATCATTCTGGACAAATGACTGTCCAATCTTTTCTTTAAAACTTCCAGTGATAGAGCACCCACTTCTGGAAGCAAGCCATTCTACTGACTAATTTTCTACTGATAAGAAATTGTTCTTTAATTCTAAGTTGGATTTCTCCAATAAGCTTCTACCCATTATTTGTTGTCCTGTCCACAAGTGCTTTGGAGAATAGGTTGGCCCCTTCTTTCCTGTCCAAACCCTCAAATATTGGAAGACTATCATACCACCTTTAATCCTTCTCTTTAATAGGCTAGGCTGGGTGTCAGCAACCCACAGCTCCAGAGCTGCATGTGGCTCTTTGACCCATCTCTTGCCACTCCCTGCTGACCCAGTCGCGCAACCTGCTCTCCACCCCGAGAAGGTGCGAGCCTCTCTGCAAAGCTGCGCAGTTGAAGTACCCCTAGCGTTTTCTCTGCTCTGCCTGCGACTGGCTGCTTTTTGCAATTCTACGTCCTTTGTAGGCAGCTCAGAACCAGCCACGGTCCCCTTTGTGTCGACTCAGGAAGGAAGGGAATGGGGAGGAGCAGCCACTGCCAGATGCAGGGAAGGAAGAGCTCTGGCTTTCCTGCGCAGCGCGGCCAGCTTCTCACCTGAGTGTGCAATGGCAGCAGTGGGAGGAGCCGTCGCCGCCGCGATCCTGGCCCAGGGGGTATCTTGGTTGTGCATGAGAGAGAGAGAGAGAGAGATGAGAGAGAGAAAAGGGGAGAGAAAGAGAGAGAGAAATGAGAAAATGATGGATGGAGAGAATGAGAGAGAGGAAACAGAAACAAATGAGAGAGAGAAGGAGAGGGAGAGAGAAATGAGAGAGCTGGAGGGAGAGAAAGAGAGAGGGGGAAAAGAGGGAAACTAATGAGAGAAGGAGAGAGGAAAAAAATAGGGAGAGAGAAATGAGAGAAAGAGAAATGAGAAAATGATGGAGAGAATGAGAGAGGAAAAAGAAACATATGAGAGAGAGAAGGGGAGAGGGAGAGAGAAATGAGAGAGAGGGAAACAAATGAGAGAGAGGAGCGAAAAAGAAAGAAGAGAGGGAGAGGAAAAAGAGAAATGAGAGAGAGAAGACAGACAGACAGACCCATTTCCCACACAAAACACCGGGAGCCACAAAACCTGGTTAGGCATGGCTGGCGGGGGGGGGGGGTGTCATGTGACTGGGTGGGGTGATATTGAGTTGGTCACGCCCACCCAGATTTTGTGACTCCCGGTGTTTTTTGTGGCAAACAGGTCCAAATGGCTCTTTGAGTAAGGTGACCAGACGTCCCGCTTTTGGCGGGACAGTCCCGCTTTTGAGCAATTTGTCCCGTGTCCCGCGGCGTTTTAAAAATGTCCCGATTTTTCATTCTGCCTCCTGAGTCCCGGCTGCCTCCTGAATCCCCGCTGATGGCTAGAGGGAAAAAAAACTGTTTAAACTCTTGCCGCGGGGCTTCAAAGGGCCGACCTACAGCTGATCAGTGTTAAAAAAAAAATGAGTAGACCCATCCCTGCAAAAATAGAAAAAACAGCCCCTGTTAACAGCTTCCGCTAGGTTAATTAGCTGCAAAAAGCTGCAAAAAGTTCCTGGAGCAGATTTTTTTCCCCCAGCAATGCTGAAAACAAAGGCGAAAGCGAAAGTAAAGCTGCAACGTGACAAAATGAGGCAGAGAGAGATTTCTTTCTTTTTCTTTTTCTTTTTCCTCACCAAAAAAGGTAGGTACAAAACTGCAAACAATGGGAAATTTTGGGCAAAAGAGGAGAGTTCAAGATTTTAAAACACAAAAGAAAAAAAGCTCTATTTAACTAGGGAATTGTAATAATTGAGATACTATTAATAATTGTATATTGTGTTGAAAGCAGAAATGGTTAAGTTGTGGTTTGGAGGAATATATGGGGGAAATTATTTGGTTTATTATTATTGGTAAATATAATTAATTGATTTGTAAGAAATTGGATTGCATGGAAATAATTGGAATATTCATGTTCATATTGATTAATATACAAAAAAGATAGTTATATAACTAATTGATTTATATTAAAATGTTGAATTTGTATTAAACAACTGTATTACATAATTACATAATTAACCAATGTGAGGATGGATATAAAAATAGATGACAATGGGAAGGGGTATAATATAGAATAGAAGGGAAAAATTGAATTTGATTAAGATTAGAGATGAGGATGAAGGGTAATATTGTTTTTTTAAAAAAATAGATGAGGAATAAATATGGCAAAAAGGAAATATAAAAATTGTAAATTTAATTGAAATGACTAAACACTGTTTAAATTTGTGAACCGGCCAAATACTCTGTTCAAAGAAAATACATTGTATGTTTGTATGTGTGTTTCTAATTATTGCTATTTATTCATATTTGTTCTCTTTTATTCTTTAAAGTTTAACAATTCATTCTTAATCTTAATATCTTTATATTTGCTTGGGGTTGGCTTTCTTCCCTTTCATCTTTTTTATTGTACAGCAATCTTTCTCCTCAAACCTACCACCACTCTCTTTTCTTTCCTTCTTACTTTCTCTTCCCCCCACCCTCTTTTTCTCCTCCCTACTTCCTCTTCCTTTCTCCTTCTCCTCCTCTCTTCCTCCCTCTTTTACCCTCACTCCTACTCTAATTTCCATTCCTTCATCCCTCTCTATTGCTGTATCCTTTAATGCATATGGACTACTCAGAGGGCTGAAAAAGTTATTTTTGACTGGTCCTCACACTTTTGACCAGCCCTCGAACTTATGACTGTCCTCACATTTTACATTTTTGCCCTATCTTGTCATCATGGTGAAGAGAAGCAATTGTGAAATGAGTGACATGGTTGTTAAGAATGCTGCACGGGCATAAATGTGAGGATGGTCATAAGTGTGAGGACCAGTCAAAAGTGCGAGGACCTGTCAGAAATGACTTTTTTCAGCCCTCTGGTTAGTCCTTTTGTGCATATGGACTACTCAGAGGGCTGAAAAAGTTATTTTTGACTGGTCCTCACACTTTTGACCAGTCCTCGAACTTACGACTGTCCTCACATTTTACATTTTTGCCCTATCTTGTCATCATGGTGAAGAGAAGCAGTTGTGAAATGAGTGACATGGTTGTTAAGAATGCTGCATGGGCATAAATGTGAGGATGGTCATAAGTGTGAGGACCAGTCAAAAGTGCGAGGACCTGTCAGAAATGACTTTTTTCAGCCCTCTGGTTAGTCCTTTTGTGCATATGGACTACTCAGAGGGCTGAAAAAGTTATTTTTGACTGGTCCTCACACTTTTGACCAGTCCTCGAACTTACGACTGTCCTCACATTTTACGTTTTTGCCCTATCTTGTCACCATGGTGAAGAGAAGCAGTTGTGAAATGAGTGACATGGTTGTTAAGAATACTGCACGGGCATAAATGTGAGGATGGTCATAAGTGTGAGGACCAGTCAAAAGTGTGAGGACCTGTCAGAAATGACTTTTCAGCCCTCTGAGTAGTCCCTATACACATAGCCATGGCCACCCGGTCACATGACCAGCTAGCCACGCCCACCCAGTCACATGGCCTCCAAGCCACGCCCACCCAGTCACATGACCAGCTAGCCATGCCCACAAAATAAGCCACGCCCACAATGTCCCTCTTTACCAATGTTAAAATCTGGTCACCATATCTTTGAGTGTTTAAGGTTACAGACCCCTGGGCTAGGCATACCCAGTTCCTGCAACTATTCATTGTATTCTTTAGCCTCTAGTCTCCTAATTATCTTTGTTGCTCTCTGTCTCAACATATAAGCATATGCTGAGCAACACTCAGCTTTAATTCGTTCATTAGATACCATTAAGTTAGCCTTCAAACTTTTAGTGACTGCACAAACACCATCTTGATAGTTTTCAGCAATAATTCCTAATTTTTCCAAGGACATTTGAACAATGTCTTTGATTATTCTCTCTTGCCAAGCATAATCGCTTTTTCTAGTCCACTATAACATGCTCTAAATTTTTGAGTTTTTGCTTGCTGAATATACTTCAAAGCAATAGTCAGCCTTTATTAGCAATGACTGAAGACTGTGAAACTGTTACCAGCATTTCCAGATACGCAATTCAAAAATTTCTATTCTTTTTCTCCCTGTTTCTCATTGCCCTATTTTCACAGCCTTATATTAATACTGGAAAAACTATTGCTGTAGCTATTATACTTTTTATGCTGAATTCTTTGTTTTACCAGTATACTGCCCATTCCAATAACATGAGATAACCTTTATTGTCACTTTTTTCTGTGAACACGCTGGCACACATTAAAAAATGAAATTCTGATGCCCCCCCCCACTCCCTCACTCCCTCTATCTATCTATACACACACACACACACACACATGTACAGTGCATTCAGAAAGTATTCAGGCTCCTTTCACTTTTGTCAATTTTGTTATGCAGCAGCCTGATTCTACAGTTGTTGAATTTTTTTTTCTCGTTAATCTACACTCAGTACACCATGACAAAGTAAAAACACAATTTTAGAAATGTCTGTAAATTTATTAAAAAGAAAAAAACTGAAATATCACATTGGCATAAGTATTCAGACCCTTCGTTCAATACTTTGTTGAAGCATCTTTGTCAGCAATTACAGCATTGGTCTTTTTGGGTATGACACAACAAGCTTTGTGCACCTGGATTGAGGGATTTTCTACTATTCTTCCTTGCAAATCCTCTCAAGCTCAGGTTGCGTGGTCACCATCAGTGGACAGCCATTTTCATTTTTTTTTAAAAATAATCTTTATTTACATTTTCCATTAAAAACAAACAAAAAATAACAGCACACCATATAAATAACATACAGCACAAAAAACATCACAAATAACAAACAAGTAATGGGTGCAGCTAGCACCTTAACAACTAACTATTCAATATAGTATTACAATCTAGGGGAGATAGAACAACTTATATCTCTTTATATATCAATTAGGTCTAACCGACCTCACTTTCCTTGTATAATATAGTTTTCTCCATAACTACTTTTCCTCTTCTGGATTGGGTTATGATTTTCTTTTCTCTAGCCAAGTATATAATTTTTCCCAGGATTATCATGTTTGTGTTTGGTCTCTATCTTTTAACTTCTTGGTTAATTTATCTGCTTCCGCACAGTCTAAAATCTTTTTTATAATTGCTTCCTCTGATGGGATATTTTGATTTTTCCAAAATTGCGCGTATGTCAATCTCGCCGCCGTGATAATGTGAAGAGCTAAATACCATAGATCTTTCTTAATCTTATCTGGTTTGGAGCCGAGCAGGCATGTCTCTGGTGACCATTCGATTTTTTGATTTAAAATCTCATTCAGCCATTTTTTTATTTTTCCCCAAAATTTTTGTGCTTCCGGGCATGTCCACCATTGATGATAGTAAGTGCCTCTTTCTAGCCCACATTTCCAACAATCAGCCAATTGCCTAGTAAACATTTTGGCCAGTCTATCAGGGGAAAGGTGCCACCTATATATCATCTTGTAAATGTTTTCTTTATATGCCGTGGAAACTACTAATTTCATATTCTCCCCCCATATCCCTTGCCATTTGTCTAGGTGGATTGAGTACCCAAAATTTTTCCCCCAGGCTATCATTGTGTCTTTATCTCGTCACCTATCTCTAATCTCATTAATAATTTGTAGCTTTTAGAAATCATGCCTTTTTCTTGGCCCATCATGATTTTATCTAATTCTTGTAGATCCACATATATGCCTTTCCCATCTCTGTCTTTTTTAAATTTAGATTGGATCTGTAAGTAAGTCCACCAGTCTACTTGTATTCCTAATGAATTCAATTCCTGTTTAGATTTTAATTTTCCCTGTACATTCAGTAGGTCTTTGTATGTTACTTTCTTTGTTGGGTTATAAAGTTTTGGATATGTCAATGCTTCCACAGTTGATATCCAACATGGTGTTTTAATGTAGTATTTTTTGCTGACCTTTTCCCAGTTTTGATTAAAATGTTTCTTATGTAGTGTCTAGTAAACCATTTGCTTTGTGGGGTGCCATTTCGCCACAGTGCCATATGCCAGCTCTGTTGTAGATCGTAACCTTCTAATTTAAGGAGACGGTTGTTACCCAAGATAATCCATTCTTTTATCCACACTAACAAAGCTGCTGAATAATAGTTCTCCCAGCATGGCAGTCCTAGGCCTCCTCTTTCTTTTATCTCTTGCATCATCTTTTTCTTAATCCATGGCTTTTTCCCCTGCCAAACAAACTTAGTTATTATTTGATTTAATTCCCTGAAAATTTTTTTGGGTAGATTCGCTGGGGCAGTTTGAAATAGGAAGTTAAATTTTGGTAAGATGTAGGATTTGACTGTTGTTACTCGTCCCAGAAGTGAGAGTTGTATTTTACTCCATTTATCTAAATCTTTCCTTGTTTGAGTTAATAATTTGTTATAATTATCTTCTTGTATACTCAAACATCTACCAGATAAACAAATTCCCAAGTATTTAATTTTTTTTGACTATTTTCAACCCAGTCACTTCCTGTAAATCTTTTTTTTCTTCTTCTGAAATATTCCTTGTTAACAAATTTGTTTTCTTTTTATTAATCAATAATCCTGCTATTGCCCCAAATTCCTCAATCATCTCTAATAGGTATGTGCATGATTTTATCGGCTCTTCCAAGATGAAAACCATGTCATCTGCAAAAGCCTGGGTTTTATATACCTGTTGTCCTATTCTAAGGCCTTTTATTTTTCCCTCATTTCTTACTT